GGCCGAGGAAAAAAAATACACATGCCTTAATCGCATTAAAATAATTAGTGGCGTTAATTTTTTTTTGCATTAAGGCGTTATTAACGCGTTAACTTGACAGCCCTAATATTTATTTATTGTGTGTTTGGCAAATATATTTATAGACTACATTCTCTTGAGGTTTGTACCTGAATGTTATTTCCAAATAAGTCGAAACCATAACTAGTGATCTCCCATCAAGACTTTGGAAAATCTAGACATAACAATGATTGCTTTTTTAATTGTAGATCTTCATAAACCTTTTTTTATAGATTACAAAAGGTGGACATACTGGTTGCGAAACGTCATATATATTGATAAGACTCTAAAAGGATTTACAAATCAGATGGTTTATGTAATGGTGGGTGTTTTCGCAAACTGTACAATTCCCTCACTGCCTAGCATCCAATGTTGCTGTCCTTCATTACATCCGCTGTCACTGAAAACAAGGATTTACAACTTGCTGTTACCAAGGTGCATAACATTGTGACAGCAGATGGGTCCAATCCGGGACGTGCACAGACATTTGGAGGGGCTATTGCTCTAAACTGGAAAAGGGCCTCCCCCCGAAAAAAACCACAAGACCTTTTGAAAATTGTAACTTGTTTTTAAATGTAAAAGAAACCAAACGATTACTACATCAACTAAATTGAACAGTCATTCACATCTCATAACAAAATAAGCTAAGGCGACTACTTGCATTCGGTGACTTGATTTTAAAAATGAAAACCAGGGACATTTTTTGTTTTGCGGTCCATATCTCATTAAAATATCTAATGTTAGTAACTATTAAAGACAAAATGGGGACAATCCTGTTTTAATGTAGTTTGACCATTGTAACATTTTGATAAAATAGGGCCTCTAACTAATTAGCTTAAATAAACTCACTAATTAATTAAACCAGTTCAATACGCATTATTCTTATTATTCTTTATGAGCGCAGTAACGGTAAGGTATCTAACTACTTGTTTATTTAGTATTCCCTAACTTAATAACAGAGATGGTCAAACTAAAGTGGTAGAGACATGACAGAAATCCTACAATGAAGCGGGACATTGAACTGAGAGCGACCGGCCCCGTTGAGGGAATTCACAGATGAAAAGATACAGAAAGACAGAAGCACAATAACAACAAGTAGGGTATATTTAGGTGTTTTTAGAAAATAACCGACGGTATCAAGAGGAAGTAAAGTCCCCTGGTTTGTCCCTTATACCCTAACTGCCATGATGAGACCACTCAAAATCAAGTTTCCAAAATCCGACACCGAGGTGGTCTTAACGCACCGGCAGATGACAGCGCTGACAAAGTGTGTTTCCCGCAGCGAGACGCTACAATACTAATTGTGGGCTTATCATGTTGATTCGGCCGTTGCCCGGGCAACATTAGCCCGTATCTGTGCACGTCCCTGCTCCTGTTACAAAAAATAATAAGAGCTATAAGAAAGTGAACAAACGTCCATAGCCATTTTCCCGGGTTCCTCGGATGGTTATGAGGACTTCTACACTCTGCAAAACACGTACAAGTTGCTTAAAAACGATTACAACTTTAAGTAAAACACCATATTAAAAACACATAGCTAACAGACCAGGTCTCGTGCTTTGAATGTCTGAAGAGTTTCCCTCCATGATGGGAAAACGTATCTTGCCCTCGCCCTAATGAAATCCAAACTGACCTGAGACACTTCCATAGGTTCATTGAAAAGACCATAACACCACCTTAAACCCGCGAGTCCTACCTTGAGGGAGATCACGGTAGGCAGGCAAGACGAGAAAAGTTTTCTGAAATTGCCGGAAAAACTTTTATAACTTACATTTTACTGGGCACCGGTCATGTGATCACGTCACGTGACAATGACGTCACATTCCCCACACATATATAAAGAAGCAGCCTGTCACTTGAAGCTTCACAATCTCCATCATCTTCAACAGTTCAGTGCAACTTTAACAGATAGAGACGGTGACATCATCATGCTGGTTTTCCTCTTCCTGTTGGGCCTGGCTCTGGGTGCTGTGTCTTCTTCAGATGACCCTCCAATGGAGCTACAACAAGACACCTGTCCCTCCTTCTGGTTCTCCTTCAACGGCCGCTGCTACAAGTACTTCAACACAAAGACGACCTGGGCTGATGCAGAGTTCTACTGTGTGTCCCAGGGAGGCAACCTGGTGTCTATCCACAGCAGAGAGGAAGAGGATTTTGTCAAATTCCTGATCAAAAGCTCTGACCCTGCTGAGGGAGCAACATGGATCGGACTCCATGACATCGCCAAAGAAGGAAGATGGATGTGGTCTGATGGGTGTGCAGCCAAGTATTTCTTTTGGTATAGAGGACAACCAAACAACAAACGAGGTGAAGACTGTGTACTCAACAACTGGTGGGGGAAGTGGAACGATGCGCCTTGTTCAAAAACTTTTCCCTCAGTTTGTGCATCTCGCACAACTTGTCCTTAGCAAAGATGTTACGTGTTCTCCTGTTTTGTTAACATGATAACAATAAAGACACAGATATTAACTTGTATATGTGTGTGAACAGAAGTCCTTTTGTCTAACCTTTACTTTCATGAATGTTACATATTCACACTGGTCGTTCCAGGGGTTAATCAAAGGAATTATTTC